GGCCAAGTCATGCGAAATTGGGGAAGGGAACAGATGAACAATAAGAAATGGAAAATATTATATCTTAGTTAAAAAACTGAAGACTCAAGTCTATAGATTATTATTTTATTATATATTACTTATTTCCTTCATTTAGTATTATTTAATAAAATATTTTAATCGAATTACATGTATTCTTAATGAGTTATTTAATGTTTTTAGAACTACACACTTTTTTATGTTTATTCTTACTTAATAGAGTATTTTAATTAAAAAATTTTAGTAATTACACTCTTTAATTATAATTATTATTGAAGGAAAAAAATCTTATCAAGTGCACATTGAAAGATCTAAGATACCTTATATTTTGTAATATGGTAATTTTTAAAAATGCATTATAATAATATTATTGAAGGGGAAACATACATTAAGCCGAATACAACCCGAAATGGGGCTTTTCACTTTCATATACATTAACCCCAAGTTGGGTGACACCAAGACATGATAATATTTAGGAATAAAGTGAAAGTGCTGTGAAGAATTAAGGGAAAGAGAAGTAGATAGTGAATAGTAGTGGAGTGATAAGGCACAAGTTTCCAAGAGGATCGGTGACTTGTGAGAGCTTTGCAATGCGAAATACATTGGGTAGGAGGACGAAAGTGGAAAGGCAAAATTGAGAGATATGAATTTTGTGGTTGCAAAAACAATGACGAGCATAGGATGCGTCCTTCTCAAGAAATTCAACAAAAAGGATGTCACTCTCTCTCACGTGCTCCTTCCATTATTACTCTCTCTCTCTCCCTCCCCCTCACTCTCTCATTCTCATTTCCTCTTTTTTTTTTTTTTCCTTCTAAACAAGTATATTATTCTTAATTTCTCAATTTTTTTTTATCTTGGAGATATCCAAAAATTAACATGAAACAGCCACATGACGCTAGTTCAATTGGCAAGGGTCGGGCAGGGTATGGATGGGAATTGAAAATTCATAAATTTTATGAAAAGCTTTTCTTTTTTATTTAACAAAAGATTTTATACTTTGTAAAAAATTATTAAATGAGAAAAAGATACTGAAAAAATCTTAAAAAATTCGTGAATCTTAACATGAGGCAGGATTTACTCTCAGGCATGGATAAAGTTCAATGATTCAAACCTTCTTAATATATATATATATATATATAAACATGAAACCCCAATCTTTAACATGTCATAACTCATGCCCTTTTTTTGTGTGTGTGTTATAATTGGATAGTGGATTTCATGCCTTACATAAAGTATTAAAATGACTTACGCTGTTGATTAAAAAAATGTGTACTATACATGTTGATTGTATTTAGTAGTAATTAAATGAGCAAATTACTTTATAAACTTTAGGTTAAGTAACACCATAAATCTTGAATTTATTTATTATGTAAATTATTTTCTCAAATTTTGAAAATGATTTAATTAAGCCCCTGCTAATAATAAAAGTTAACTTTGATCGTTAGTTAACTAAAAATAATAAAAAAAAATTTAAAAATTATTAAAAATAGCTAACAATTATAATAAAGGATCCAAAAATTATTGACAAGGACCTAAAAATTATAGAAAATGATTAAAAGAAAAATTTGGTTTTTTTCTGGTAATTTTCAAGATCATTTTCAATATTTTTTGGTTAACTAACAGTCAAATCAATATTTTTTGGTTAACTAACAGTCAATGTTAACTTTTGTTAATAGTATAGACTAAATTGTATTATTTTTAAAAATTAAGAAAACTTTGTATAATAAACAAGTTCAAAATCTATAATACTATGTACTGAACCTAATGTTCAAGAAGTAATTTACTTATTTATCCTTTATTAATAATTGAAGCTAATATTAATAAGGTTGAACAAGATTATTAAACTCGTGATTTTAAATAAACTAGTGAAAAGAAATAAACTTGAAAAGTAGACTCAGATTGTAAACTTATAAGAGTTTACCTCTAATAATAAATAGTTTTTAAAAGTATAATATTAAATAATTAAAATATAAAATATGATCGTAATTTAATTTAAATATATTTCAAATTTAAATCATTAAAATTAAGTACATCTACATTCATAAATTATTATATTCAACATTGAAGTTTCAAAATAAAGCAACTTGTTTTTCCATTTTTTGTTTCTTTTTTATTAATATTAGTTTTTTTATTTTTTTTATTGAATCAGGTCCTACCACTTTTATGAACTAAGTTCTAAATAATATATACCTATCTTGATCAATAAATATATGAGTAAATTGATATGATTTTATCAGTTATAAATATAAAAATGGTAAATTTAAAGAGTCAACTCGTGAGTTTAATCGATTCTTATCTAGTCTGAATTTATAAACAAGTTAACACGATTTTATGAGCTAGAGAAGTAAAAATGATAAACTCAGAGAGTTAACTCGAAAGTTTAACAATAATAAGGTTGAATGTAGTTTTAGTTATTTCTATTCTTTGTTGGAGAATAATTTAATAGTGTATATTTTTTTCAACCAACAATGGTGCGTTTTTGTTTATTTTATTCCTTTTATTAATTGTTAATTGAAGTAATATTGTCTCTCTAAGTATTAAAGAAATTACATTAAAATTAAATAACTTAAAATAGAACAGTAGATCCACTAAGCTAGACAAAAATAGCATTCAGACAATGCTGTTCTGATTAAAATTATAATAATTCAAAGGCTTCATTGAATGTATATTAGAATGACTGAAAGTATATTTATAATTTCAAAATAATAATAATCACTTCCCACCATCCTAACTCTGTTAGTGGGAGGAGGTGGCGGTGGGTATAAGCATATATTTACTATTATGGAAAATGCCTTTAGTTATAATTATTAAATAAACCATTATATATATATATATATATATATTGTTTCAGAAATTGTTATTACTATGTTATATATATTATGATCCAGAAATATTTAATTACTTTCTCAAATGATGACTTTTTTTCTTTATCTAATAATCTGAGTGACTAACATTAATTTTTCCTTTTGTTGTTAATTAACGAAATTACGTAATCATGTCCCTCTGAGTTTTATAGTTATAAAACAATATAAAGACAGAACAGTTTAGCTCAATTCAAAAATGATTTTGAGTTTCCTTCTATTAATTTCTTTTTAAATTATTTTCAGATAATCTTTATCTAGGTGGGCAATATAATGTTATTCTAGAATAAAAAGAATTAAACTACTTCATTGAGCAAATGTTTGAATTCATGACGGAGAGTACTTGAAATTTTCAAAATAATAATAATTACTTCCATTAACATCCTCATAACTCAAGTTAGTGAGAGGATATGGGAGTGACTATAGTGTTTAAAAATTTAAGCCCTTCTTAAAATTTAATAAGGAAAGTATCATTAGAAAATTAAGTCCTTCTTTCAAACAAACAAAAAATTGATATATTTTTTTATCAGAAAAAAATTGATATTACTAGCTAGCTATAAGACATGCATTCGGCATCCCAGAAAGTCTCGTGAGCAGTGTAATTTGAAGATTAAGAACATGAATAGAACTTTACCACATGCGCCAAAAATAATTAATTTCTCAAATTAATTTTGAATGAATTCCGATGTTATAATATGATAATATAAATAAAATGGAACTACAAATTAAAATTTATCGATATTATATAATGAATCAAATACTGTCATTTTATTCGCACATATGTAATTAACAAAATATCTAATAAAGTAATAATAAGGTCAACTAACATGATTTATACTTTTTTTAAAAAAAAAAATTAATCATTGGTCATATAATTTAACTCAATTATAATTTAATTTCCTGAAGTTTGACTTGTTATAACTCAGTTATTATAATTTTGACTCAATTATAACTGAATTAAAATAATAAGAACTGAATTATAATGAGTTAAATTTAAGAATTAAGTTACACTAAATTAAAATTATTAAAAATAGATATTAGTTTCCCTGCATTGTTTTACCAAAAGTAAATGTTTACTCTATTGACTTTATATAAGATTCCATTCATTTTTAGAAAAAACACTGTTGCAATTGTGTCAAAAAAAAAAAGTCCTATATTGCTCAAATGAATGGAGGCCTTATACATATATACTAAGGTATGAGCTTGGGCAAGTAAATGGGCTTAGAGGAGAAGTTGGCTCATGCAAATACAATTACTCACACGCGAGCTAAATGTGATATCAAATAGATGGGCATTTTTTTTTAAGTTTTGAAAACTATTATGAGGAGTTACAAATTATTTGTATAAAATAGTTTTCAAGAAAATTTTCCTTCCTTTTGAAATATGTAGAGAATTGTTGAATATTATAGAATATCTTTAATATTTGAAAAGGAGTTCTATGAATTAAATTAGTATTAATTACCATAACCCCCCTACTTAAATATATTTATTTAACCTTTTTATTTTTTGTAACTATTTTTTTAATTGTTATTAAGATGGTTTTATTGCCCGAGATTATGAGATCTGCCTATAAAAGGCAGTGCTTGCCACAGGTGCAAAGAGAGCTTTGGTACTCTCAAACATTCTCTCCTCTTCTATCATTCATCGTTGATGGTCTAAGTATATTTTGTGAATTTTGATTAGTCTGTATCCCTACTTTTAATAGAAAGAGTCTGTTTAATTTTAAGAGCTACCCGTGTGTTCAACCTAGTGTAGCTGAATAGCTCAAAGACAGTATCCTTAAACATGACTCAGACTATAGTTTTTACTGATTGGTGCCAAAAAAACACTACTTTTGGTCTCTATAATTTCATGGCATTTTGATAGTAGTCCTCATGTTTTTTTTATTGTTCCCGGTCCTTATAGTTTTGCCGTCCAAAAACGTTAGTCCTCCAATTCTTAACGGTGTTAATTTGCTGAGGTGTAATTAACAACATTAAATTTTCCTAGTTAGTATGATGAGTCATCAGATGAGTTGAATTAAACACGTTAGTCATCAAGTTTTTTTATTTCCCCCTTTTTTCTCAACACAAAAGATAAATCACACACCGCAAGAAATGATGCTTCAAAGTCGCTAGACGCATGATCGCCATTGGAAGACTCATGGGAATAATGCAACAGGAAGAGGTTGCTGATGAACTTAGGAGGGGATGTTTGTGATGAAAATATTCTTCATCACCATTCTCTAAGTTTTGACAAAGAATCATCTGAACTACTTCCACTAACTTCCTCCCTTTTAGATTCAATTTTCTAACAACTCTCGTTCTCCATATGCATATTATACATATTGCAACAAATCATAGAATAGATTTTTTTTTTTAAAAAAAAAGAGCAAGCCAACCACGCAAATGGAGCAAAAGCCATAGCCACAACAACCATACCCAAAATAGATAAAAAATGAAAAAAATTAAAATTAAAATTAAAATGAACAATCAAGCCACATGCTTCACAGCACCAAGGATTCAAAGGGATAAAAAATAGGGTCAAGAGACGGAAAACAAGGTCACATGCTTTGATTTTCAAATTTTATAATGAATAATCTCTAACATTCATTCGATGGATTTAGAGCGACGAAAATCCAGAATCGTTGCCATAAGAGAATCGTCGGCAACCATGTCTCATATTCACTATTTTGGTGAGCCTTCATCACTGTTCGACTAGCTTTTTGATGTTCGACTCAGGACAACGCAAGGTTGGGTCTAATGCCTTAGTGCATCATAAAAGGTCAATGCTTTGTCGTTTGAGAAGAGGCGGATACTCACTGGTCAAATAATTTCCTTTTTTCAGCCTCATTTTGATTTTTTTAATCCAGCTCATTAGATGACTCATCATGCCAAATGGAAATTTAAAAATTTTAATTACACCTTAACAAAATTAACACCATAGGGACTGGAGGGACTAACATTTTGGATGACAGAACTATAAGGACCAGGAACAACAAAATCAATTATAGGGACTAAAAGCAAAATGTTGTGAAATTATAAGGATCAAAAGTAGTATTTTTCTTTTTATTTTTTTTGACAATAAGGAAAGGAAAGACAAAACAAATTAAGATTTTTTTTTACTTTCTTAATTTTATTAAACTCTTTAACTTTAATACTATTAGGTTCTGTTTGGTTGTTAGAAAGGATATTGTAGAATAGAGATTAAAAAAAATAAAAATAAAAATGAATAAATCACCCTTCCCCCTTCTCAATAAGTATGATAATCTCAATATTATATACTATAAATGTGAAGATTATCACATTTTTTAAAAAATATCATAAATTATGATTTCTAATTTCATGAATTAAAATTACCCTTCTCCCCTAAGAATATGGTTCACCCATTCCCATCCACATTTTTTGATAATTTTATTTTTATCTTTATTTTTTAAATTTAATTTCCATTCTAACAACCTGATGGGCCCTTAGTTTTTATTAATGAAAAATATTAATATAGAATTTTTAAATGTTGACTAGAAAACATTCTTGAATATCGCTGTATTAAGTTTAACATTGAAACTAAAAATTATTGTTTGAAACTAATGGTATTAGAGTTAGAAACATAAAATATTTTATAAAATTAAGGGATTGGATTGAAATCTATATAAAATTAGAGGATAAAAAATCTTTTTTTGCTAAATGTTTTGTAACCCCAAAATTAGTATTACTTACTGATCCAGGATATATCAAAGTTGTTTAGCAATTGAAAAGAGTATGAAAGAAGGTGAAGGAAAAGAAAGATTACAAAGGTACAAAGCAACAAGCAGGCATAATTAAGGGTTGAGGAAACTTGGTGTTAAAGCTGAGTATAATGGATTAATTAAGGAAATCGTATTGATCACACATTAATTAATTACTTTGGTCAAACTCTTATATATTCTTGCCGTCCTTGTGCTGACTGATACTAGCATGCATGTTGTTGATCCCTCTTTTTTGCCGAAAGAAGAAGGAATATATTATGAGCGAAGTATTAGACTAATTAAATAGGGTAAAGAAAGGAAAAGTTGAAAAGAACGAAGGCGAGAGAGGAGAGAGAGGGTAAAAAAGGCACTAATGGTAGGTATGCTTAGGAATGGAATGAAGGACAGATGATATGGGCAAAGTGAGAGAAAGGTTTCTCAAAACTTTCCATTTTGTACTTAAGATTGTTGCCTCCTTTTTTTTTGTAAATCTGAAGTGGGAGGTTACTCTTTTTTTTTTTTTTTATAGCATCCAATCCCTTGACATGTCTCATCTTGAATCAAGAGAACTTTAATGAGGCCCAAATATTTTAAATTTAGTCAGGTTAAGATCCTTTTGGGTGGAAACTCTTCCACCAATTTTGCTATATTGTAGGGCTACACATAATAGGTTCAAGTTGGATATCACCCTTCCCGTGCCTAGCCTGACGCCCAAGTGTTCAAGGGTTTGGTCTGACTTAAAAAGATTTAAAAAAAAAAACATTTTTTTGAAAAATATATACAAAATTTTTTTCGAAATAAGTATGATTATCACTATTTGAAATATATTCTTTATAAAAATAATATTAAAATTAAAAGTATTTTTTAAAAAATTATATATTATCAACAATTGTCAATTATTTTTACATAAAATTAAATTAGAAATAAATTTTAAAATTTGAAAGAGGTTTAAACATTGTAATGATGAGAAATCAAAGCTTGTAATTCAGGTCAACTCGACGAGTCAATCTGAATAAGTTTTGAAAAATTTTAGGGTTAGGCTTAGCATTTTGATAAATTCTCTCATAGTCAGGCTTATTTGAGAATTAGCTTGAACAAATTCGAGCTAAACCCCGCCCACCCAAATTATCAGCTCTATAAGAAATATCTAGAAAGATTATAAAAAGATAATGTAGCTAAAATATCATAAATAATGTTATTCACATTTTTTTTTTATAAAAATGCATATGTTTGGGCTAGGCTAGGGTTGACCACTACCTGGTGCCCCTCGGTTAGATGATCTTGAATGCTCGAGTAGGGCCAGGTTAACCAAGTTAGCTCACTATGCCAATGTATATAGCCTTATTGCATTCCCAGAGTCCAAAAAATTAATACTCTGATTAAACTGATACACCTTCTTCCTTAATTAGTTGACCCAAGAGTCCTTGTTGAAGGGAGAGATTACTCATTATTGTTAATATTGGTAGTCCTATTTATAAGTCAATTAGCTTCCAACATGTTCTGAAATGAAAAAAAAAAACTTCATAATTTTTTCTTTTTTTTGAAAATTTAATAAATTGTTAACTTTGTGTCCAAGGCAAATTATAAATTTAATAACATATTTTTTTCACTAACATTTAATAAGATTTAAAAGAAAAAAACTTGCAATAAAAAGTCAATAACACGTCATATAAAAAATAAAACAACATTGAGGAAGTAAATAAAGAAGTATGGAGTAGTTTATCATGAATATTGAGGATGATTCTGGAAATTGAGAACTCGAATTGTTGGGAAGAAAAATCTTGTACGTACTTGCATGATATGTGGATAATGCAAACTCGGAAAAATTAAATCAAAATTAAGATATCAAGACACGGTCCAGATTTTCTAAAATGTGCAAACACTTCTTACTCATCATCTCTTATCGTGATTGTTGTTGATCGGCTCTCCCATACATGTTCTTGATTTAATACAACATATAATAATATAATATATTATTATAGTACATTGTAATCTATTTGTTAAAGGAGCAATTTTGTTTTTTAAGAGTTGAATCTTGATAGCTTCAAATTATAATATGCGCGCGAATATGATATGCATGGTCCGTAGTAATAAATAAATGGTTTTTCGGCGCCGCTTGGAAGTTAAAAATTAAAATTGAGTATTCTATACTGTAATTATTTAATTGAAGGATCAACCTATTACCTACCTAACATGATGTTCCTACTCTTAGCTCTTTCGTTAGTACTTGTTGTCTTGTGCCACAATGTATGAATCAAGCTTATCCAGTCACATGTTGTAATTGGCTCTCTCTCTCTCTCTCTCTCTCTCCTCGCTCTCTCTCTCTCTCTCTGCTGTTTGATCTGGATCTAAGCTTGCTTTATTCCCATAATATACATGATTAATTATTACTCTCTTTGTTTTTTATTGTATTTCAAAGGTAAACTGCTGTTTATTTAATGAATCAATATGGCATGATTAATTATTTTTTTTCAGCAGACCTCCCTTTATCAATCCCATTTTCCCTTCTTTCTTATTAATTAATTTACTCCTTTGGAAATTGTATTCTATTAAATTATCAAATGAATTCATGTTGAAGTAATAGTTTTGTTGATGATATTGTTGTTCTAAACTGGAGGGAGAAAAAAATATAGTTTTTTTTCCCAACACAAAATATTGAGTGGTAGAGATTTTTTTTTTTAATATGACTATTTAGTTCAGTTAGATTCAAGCATTGTAGAACAAATAAACATGAATTTTCACCCCCAAAAATGTTTTAATAAATAAGTTCAACACATGACCTGCCACTGAATGCGTACTCTCTTTTTTTTTTGGCAGAATACAAATACTTAATTAATAGCAGTGTTGATGGCCTAAATATTAGACTCCTAGCTCATTAGATTGGAGCCAGGACATGTCACCATGATGTATGACTTAGTAATATTAGTCCCTGGGAAGAGTGTTGTTTTTTGTTTAGTAATAACTTGGGATTGGGCCAGGTTTTGGGCTTGAAACATTTCATTGGTACCAAGTTTTGGCCCAATATGAATTGTTACTGAAAAAAAAAAACATATGAATGAAAAAAATCGTATAACACCATTTAGATTCCACTAGAAACTATTTTTAGACCCATGAAAGGTACAACATTGGGTTCAAAGTTTTCAAAAGAAAATCTAAAAATTTGTAAAATAAACAAATGGTCCAAAGCTCATTGTGTCATGAGAAAACATAACATCCAAACCCAGCCGTCCCTCGCAGTAATTATTATCATATTCTTGGTTCAATTCCCCCATTTTTAATTAAAAATACATCACACATTAATTTACCATATATGTTTAAAATAAATTAAATATCATAGAATACTATAAGGAGCTCGCTAAAAGGTACTCTATATATATATATATATAATTAGTTAATTCGTTTGTTTATTTTCTGGGGACAATCCACGTGGAGGGACGTCCAAAGTTAAGGATACAAAATGATACAGTCAACTATATAATTAAAAAAATAATTATAGAGTGGATTTTGAATTGATCGGTGTGTGAGAATGAATTAATTAATTAATAATTATAAGAATAAACTAATAAGAGAAATTTAAAATAATTGGACCGACTTGACTGTGATCACTATCAGCAAATGATCGAGCTTCAATTCAAAGGATTTACTGTCTAATTAGAAACTGCAACAATCTAATCAATGAAGCAAACATTTTGTAATTAATTTGTGTGTGTGTGTGTGTGGTGTGTGTATGCGTTTATATATAATCTCAGTGTTGTAGGAACCCTATAATACAGAGATCTCTGCTTCATTCTCTTCTTGAAGTGGAATGTGATTATGGCCTTGCCAGGTACGTACGTATACAATGTCTACTTTTAACAATCTTCTTACTTACATCGATTATATTTTTCTTTTCTTTTTGTTATTGAATGTTTGTGTTATAAATAAATATGGATATTGATATGGAAATTATACATATAGAAGGTTAATGTTTTTTGCTCAAAAAAAAAAAAAAAGAAAGGTTAATGTCGGGTTAATTATTTTGCAGTGGAAGGAAGAAGAAAAGTGCGAGAAAGTTAATGAGAAAGAGAAGGAATATTGTGAGAATGATAGAAAAAGGAAGAAGAGTTTAGGAAGCATTGCAATCAATGACCAAACCTCACCACACACACTTGGTTCAAGCTCCTCAAGCTCTCACTTCCATGCCATCAAGGTCTCTCTCTCTCGCTCTCTCCTCCCCTCTCTCTCCTCGTCTCTCTCTCCTCTCTCGGTTAGATATCTACCAGAATTGGAAAAAAAAAAGTTATGAAATGTTTGGTATGTGAAAAAGTGTTTTTCTAAAAGTATTTTTTTTTTTTAAAACATAAGATAGGTATATTCTTTTTTTTTTGAAAAAAAAAACATGTTTTTAACCTAAAAACATTACAACTGCTAATAGTTGCTTCTTTTTAACCTTTTCAAATTTTACCTTTTAATTTAAAGTCTCTCTTTGCATAAAAGGGGGTCCATTCCTTTCCTCTTTTTTTTTCCCCCTTGATGAAAAAGTCATCTCTTTTATCAGTCTTCATTAATCTTTCCGCCGGGGATATACCTAAAAAGTTTTTTTTTCTTAGTCATTTTTCCTAGAATTTCAAACAAGTTCTTATAAAAAGGGACTAATTTCTCCAGTCCTAATTATAGAATAAAATTAACTGATTTAAGATTCTTAAAAAGTGGTAATTGATAGTTGATATCTTATACTTCTAAAAAATATGTGAATTTTCAATTTCGACATTTATTGAAATTGATTATCATAATAAATTACTCTGCCTTGTGTATGCAGGTGCCACTGGGGTGGAACAAGCTATTCATTTACATAACAAGTGCAGAAAATGGGAAAACAATCAGCAAATTGGGGAAAGCATCAGTGCAAAATGGAGTGTGTCATTGGGAAGACTCTATTTTCCACTCCATTTGGATTTCTCAACACACTAATAATCATCTCATTAAGCTTGTTGTCGCCATGGTCTGCCTCTCTCTGCTTTTTATCTTCTTCTTCATCTTCAATATAACACACACGTTATTTTTTTAATTGATGATTTAAAAATTGACATTATTGGTATTATAGGGATCAGTGAGGTTTGGAACCCTTGGAGAGGCCACCATTGATTTGGCAAGTTACATCAAATCAGAAACTTCCACTCTATCATTGCCTTTGAAACATTGTTACCACGACACAATCTTACAAGTAAGACTTCCAGTAATTATTACCCTATATGGTTAATCTAAGTAATACTACTCTTATCAGATCTAGAAGAGTGCAAGACTTGAACAAGCAAATTGTGCAGAACTTGTTCAGAAGTAGTAATTTGAATCCATCAGATATAATAAGTTCTAAACATGTCAATTTAATTCCTGTATCATGATTCAATTCATACCAAACAAGTCAGTTCTTTATCATTGTAAAACAAGAAACACTAATCCTCTCTATTTTTTCAGGTTCAGATTCAGTGTTTGTCACCAGCAAGAAATATCAGGTTTGCAGCTTATGTGAACACTTTGGACAATTGAAGTCCTTGAGAAACGATGCGATCACCAATTTGATACCTGCGACTTTTCTGTATTGAAAATTGAAAAAATGACATTTGAGGACCCTCTAAAAGCATTAATTCCATATTTTCAGTACTTAGCTCCCAATTTTCAGTACTCGTATCCTAAATTTTCAGTACTCATCTTTAACATTTATAGTACTTAACTCTTCAATTTTTCAAAAGCCATTTTAGATATTTTCAGTACTCATCTTTTATATATTCAACACTTATTTTCAGTATTGAAAACATAAAAGATAATTGGACAAGTATTGAAAAAATTGAAAAACTGAGTAAGTAGTAAGTACTGAAAATTTAAAACATGACTATTGAAAATATGGTTGAAACAATTAACCCAAAAAAAAATTAATTCCAGCAATGACCATGACCCGTACCTGAAATTTCAAAATTTCAAGGTCCTTAAATGTAATTAATGTTCTTGGGGTTCTTTAAATTTTATTTTCCCTTGAATATCTGATCTCCTTTTTGAGAATCAAGTATTCTGAGCTGAAACATAAATATACTTCCAGTCCCAGATACTAAAGTCATACAGAAGATCATTGTGTCGAATCGATAAAGACATCGTTGGATGACCAAAATTGGATTTTAGTCAAAACCTTTAACTCAATGAACCTTCTGTATGCTTATGTTATGATAATAAGTTAAAGACAATGACATGTTACCCTAATTTTTCAGAGAAGAGCATTTGGACGACGAAAATTCATATGTGGAGGAAATGAATGTTGACTATGATGATCTAGACGATAAATCAGATGCATCTGATAGTACCGCATTCAACAATAATGTTAGACCGTCACATTGTAACCAATTGCACAACACAAGTCATCCTGCAGAACTTTGCAGTAATGTATGAAAATCTTTCTTTTTTACTGAAACTATATATTTTGCTACTCCACTCTTCTCTGTAAATTTACTTCTGTTCTGAAAAAAATTGTAGTTCTTATTTAGTAAAATCCAGACAGGAAAAGCATAGAAAATGAACTTTATAGATGATTGTATTGTATGTAAGATAATATATATTACTTTAGAATCTGCTTTTTCTTCTGAACTATTATTCCTGTCCTCTTGCCTCTTGGGACAAGGTTTATTTCAAAATGAATAATTTTCGATGTAGATCCTCTGAAGTTGAGAATCAGTGTTTTCAATGTTCAACAAAGATTCCTAGTATTGTACTACCACTCTAAAATCAACACCACCGACTATAACTTCAGAGGGTCAGTTCTCATAATTTTTGTCAGGAGGCTAAAATGCATTTTTGCCGTTGTTACAGGAAACAAGTCTACTTGCATCAGGTTCTTCTTCATCAGGAAACCAACAAGAAAATCACTCTAATAATGGCAACTACTCAGCATCAGGAGCCATCAATTCAGACATGAAACTTCAAGAACAAATCAACGACTTTGGGCAGCAAGTTTCACACCGCCAGCATGCAACATTGGCGAAAAGTCTTGGATCATCTACAGATCTTTTGGATGCTGCTGAGGTCACAATCAATTTACTTAATGCAGAAGCCAAAATGTGGGAGACAAATGCTAGGAAGTTGTTAAATGATGTGGAAAGATTGCAGAAAGACTTGTGCAGCAATTCAGACAAGGAGAAAGAGCTTGAAATGGAGTTATCAGCATTGCAGAAAGGATGTTATGGGTTGAAGGAGGAAATTGAAGAACTAAAAACTATGGTGGAGGAATCATCAATGGCAAAACAGAATGACAGTGAAAACTTGAAGTTTCAGGCTGAAGAGATGGGGAAAATCATAAAGGAGTTGAAAGATGAGATAGAGTATCATAAAGGACTAAACAACGACTTTGAATTGCAGCTCAAGAAAGCACTAAAGTCCAACATTGATCTTGTCTCTATTCTTCAGGAGCTAGAAAAGACAATAGAAAAGCAAAAAATGGAGATTATTGATCTGTCAATGACTAAGTTTCAATTTCAAGATGGAACAGATTATAGCCATGGGCATGATGACAGTGAGGAATATGACTTTCATTTGAAGAAGCCAGTTTTACCAGGAAAAATGAGGATGGATTCTTCTGATTCAGATCTTGATATGTCTAGTTCTAAATTTCCAATAAAGTGCCTCTATGAAGGTATTGAACTAAAAGAATTCTGGAGTTTAGAGCTGCAAGAGAAAATAAAGAACATGGAAAGTACCGTCAGATTTCTGGAGAAAAGTCTAGCAGAAAAAGATGAAGAGATGCTTAAGGAAAGAGGTTTGATGTCCAAAATTTTAGAGGAAAATGAAGCGAAATGGAAGCATAAGCTATTTGAGAAAGAACAAGAGATTATCACCATTGAAAAGAAGCTATATGAAGGTATTGATGCTTTTGAACAAGAAATCAGAACTTTAAAACAGATCATGCAAGAGCTTGAAGCAAGAACTTGCAAGAATCCTAGTGAACTATGCAAGGTTGAAGAAGAGATGAGCATGAATATCCTTGTAAAAGAAGTTTCTGATGTTTACCTGCTTACACAGTCCGAAGATGTTGGAAACATGCATTGTTTGGAGCTAGACTTTCAGCTTGAAAGCTGGAAGGAATTTTGCTCATATCTTGAAGATGAACTCAGCAGAACAAGAGCCCATTTGAAAATGAAGGAACTTGCCAATGCTGCCTTAGAAGAAAAGTTACAACGTTGTACAAATTTCTTGACAGCTGAAGTACCTAGTGAAGGTGACATGTACAATGCCCCAGTTCCTGAGGTGGGTAAAATTTTCTTACCTGTTTGATTTTGAAAGATATTCTTTTGCTTCCATGCTGATTAATGTTATTGTCTCGCTCCTCTATTGTAATTTAGATCCTTTGAAGTTGGCAACCTTAGACATAAAATACAAATACTATTATTCAATATGAATGAACATTGGTCATTGGCTTTGTGTGTGTGTGTGTCCTAGAGCCACTAAATTAAATAGTCTTAATACTTAATGCTGCTTGTGCTCAGATTGTTGTTGGAGAGGAAAACTTAGTGTGGTTCTCCTTAGAAGCTTAAAGCAAAAGAGGGACTGATTGACAAGGAAGATTACAAGTTGTGCTTAAAGCTATTGGGATTTCATGTCTCATTATTTATTTTCTACTAACCAACTTTTCAGGTGATAGCAATGAAGAAACAAAAGGAAAGAAGACAATTTGAAAGTTGTTTTGATGTGAAAAAGTGGTTTAACTTGTCTTAGTTTATGTATTTATTTGATGTAATGTGATTCATCAAGTATCAAATATGTTAGTAGTTTGGAGTTGACTTAAATCTTTTCTATTCATGAAAGCGAATGAGCGTAAAAATAAAGCGAAGTCACATTCTTATTTGTTAATCTCTTTCCGAGGGCATACATAACTCAACTAAAGTTTGCAATAGGCGAACTTGGAATGACAGTGAGCTTAGTAACTTGGTATGTTGCTGTGCAGAATCTAAAAGTTCTAGAGTATGAAGTATTTGGAATTGGAAGATGTAAGCATGTACTCCCCCTGGTCCATAATATATATCATTGGTAACTACTTCACATTTAAAAAAAAAATAGTAGAAATCTTAACGGATTTTCAATTAGATTTTTATTAAATACTCTATACAAGTGGCTTAAATGACAATTGAAATTCCAATTGACCCTTTTTTCAAAAAATAAATAAATAAATGAAGTAAAGATGTACTTGGAAAAACAATTATAAGAACAACCCAATGACTTAAATTTTAGATCACGCAGGGTTTCTAAAAAATGACCCATATTTTGGATTGGAGGGAGTCGTAATTATAAAGTTGGTATGCATAGACTGTCAACATGAAGCATCTGCTGGTATATTTCTTTCTTCGTGCTGCTGAGCACATTGGCACCATTCATTTTCCTTTACAATTCTATCAATTGCTGTATCATAACTGCCCATAACTTTTCTTGATGCCCTCCCAAGGATACAAAAGGAAAAAGAACCCCTTTTTATCCTTAATTTTCAAACCAAAAGGAAGTTATGTACATAAAATGAGGCAGCATTTCCACAACCTCAAAACAGGCACAATTTGATATCACCATCTTTGGCAATCACGACCATATGATCCTGGTCTTCAAATCTCACCTGTCCCTAAGGGCTGCCTCGAGGTATCTCCTGAAGCCCAGGCTTGGTAATCTTTCACGAGCTGCTAATGCAAAAGAGATTCAGTAAATATATCAAATTACACAATAAGTCAATGATTATTATCTCAAGTCAGAACTAGATTATGTGTCTATTGAACCATGATGCTCTTCAGATGATCCTTCCACAAGTCAATCTCGAAATTGCAATTGTAAGATCCTCAATACAGGAATAAGTTAATAAATTACATAGAAAAGAATAAATTTGAAGTTTCATGGGATGTTAAATACAATATATTTTGTTATAAAATTATGATCCTGTTGTTTGTCTGAAAATAAATTTGCCCCAAGTGCTTAAATTTTAAATTGTGTCATTTACCACTTGTTTTCAATTACCACTTAACCACCCCGTAACATTTTATTGCATCAATTACAAAATAATATACTAAGAACAAATAATTATTCACAGGCCAATAAATAATAACAGGTGATAAGTTTGTTCATCCAGAACTATTTTGGGTTTTTTCAAATAACACCAAATTACTAATACCACGATGCCTCAGCCACTTTTGTCACAATTCCAGAAAACAGAATTGAAGTTCTACAAAAAAATATTCAACCAATTGAAAATTTCATCTAAGTTTGTCATAATATCATTCCACCAAGCAGCTCAGACGATGAGGATGCAATGCATTGAACAAAAGACAAAAGTCAGAAACATTAAGCTGCTATCATTCATCAGTCCGCTAAGCTTTCTCAGACAATGAAGAGGTAATGCATTGAACAAAGGCCAAAGTTAACAGACATTTAGAAATAAACAACAGAATACACTTTGATAGGTTATCTCACAAGAATTCAAATTCAATATCCATTACATGAACAGTCATACATAAGCAAAGTCTATAACGATTGATATTTGAGCACACAGACTGCCAATGAAAAATTATCACTACCATACATAAAATTCATCTAGTTCATACGACAGACAATGGGCCATTCTAAAAGTTCCAACGAAAATTTTCTAGGATCTCTTAACAGTAGACTGAATCTCAAAAGGCTAGTAATCTTCATCGACAATTGTTATCTTATCATCATCGTATGATTTGACCAATAAACTGAAATAAGGAAACTTGCACTTTAAATGAAAGTTGTTATTACATCAGTCGTCCACAAACCTGTGCCATAAAACGGGGAAGCATAATTCTAAGTATTTGTTCAAGAACTTGAGTCCCAGCTGATTCAATTGCTTCCTTCGGTATTAATTGGAATGCAAAAGGAATTTCAACGGTTACCTGGAAACCACATATTGATCCAAAGATAACTTTAACTGTGGTCCATAGTTACGCAATCACATAAAATTGATATAAAACCAAATTTACTACCTCAATTATAGTGTCTGAAGAGAACTGCTGCACCAAGGCATTATTACTATTGCTATCACATGATATCCGGTTCACCATCAAAGCTGTGTTACCATATTAAAGTATTGTTAAAGCATTCCTGAAAGTAGCATAGCACAAGGATAGGATATTTTGGAAAAAACTTAGTCTTGCAAATCCATAGCAAACCTTAATGATCCCACACGATTAAACTTACTATAGCCTTATGCCACTTGTCCTACACTAAAAAGTTATTTAGTGCATTATACCAGTAAAATTCTAGAGATTTAGAAGTTTACAGCACAAAATTATGGGAGCAACAACTTTCCCAATAAAGACGAGAGTGCCGTGATATCATTAACCTTTTAATTCTAGTTACTGATTTGCTTGGAGCAGAATGCCGGCCAAACTCATTTGGCCTAACTTTCATCCCCCACAGTTTCTTATCTTCAAATGCAATTGGACATCCCAAATTCTTGTTTTGGCACAGTAGTTGCAGTTCAAGTCACTGGTTTGAATTGGGCAGATTGCAGGGCAAAGTCCAAGATGGCCTAATTTTCATACGCAATGCCAACATTTCCTCATCTAACTTTACACGTTATGTAATGTAGACTGACTTTCAAAATTCTTTATTAGTAAGAAATACTCTCTCCGTCTCAATTTATAAGACAATTTTAAATAAAATCACACATACTAATAAAACTCATTAAATACATTTTACAACCTTATTTCTTTTCAAAACAAAAATATAAACTTTCAAAAATGCCCTTCATTTAATACTCCATTTATAAAAGAATATTAAAAGTAGAATATAATGGAAAGGGTAATATAAGAAAAGCATCATTAATAAAACCTCATTTTTGTCAAAGCATCTTATATTTTGAAACACCAAATCTCTCCCAAAAGAGTCTTATAAATTGGGATAGGGGTAGTAGTATGTACTATATACAACCATCCAGCAATTGCAATTGCTGTGCTGCCAAGGAGATCCAAGCTACAAAATAAAGGTAGACCAATCTTACCATGATAAAATATGTCAAAGTTGGGACCAAGACCACGTCTATTCAAAATTGGCTTGGTCTACTTATTTTTGGCTAGCCTGGTCTAATTCATTAAGAAATACCACAGGTGTACTTCGAATGAAAGTCAAAGCTTAGAATTGGCAACGTGGATGTTGTTGAAAAGTTCATGTTTTATGCTACAATTTGCACATAAAAGGAACAACACAATTATGTATTTATGCAATGCTGTAACAAAGCTTATAAGATAAAACGAGTTCACATTTCTATAATAAAATATTTAGCCATTGCTCCTTACCATCGAACTTGTCATTCTGAGCAGCAACAATTGGCGAACCCTCAAGCTGTCACCCAACATCAAACGAAGAAGAAAGCAGACGAAATAAATCCACTAGAAATTCATACGCCCAAAAAAGAAGAAAAAAACACTACCAAGTCAACAGTAAAGTCAGGGGGGAAGACAGAGCTGAGGGGAAAAAATGTCGTACCTTGCAGGACAGGAGTTTAATACAACACCCGTCGGGTTGCTCTTCCACCCTAACCAGCAAAACTGGACAAACTTCAAAGGAGAAGAACTTAATTTTATACACATAACACCTAAAAGTGTTGTCATTCACTCTCTCAATCCTCTCAGCATCCAGAACAGAATATTGACTGGCAGGCAACCGCATATATTCAACTGAAACCAACAAAAACAATTTCAAATTCCGAATTAAATACACATCCAAATCCAAACGGGACGAGGGGTTATTAAATCTCTCTTAGCATTACCTAGGGGACGTTCGAGTTGCTGAACAGTAACCGACTCCTTCCGCCGAGCAACAAAACGAGCTTTGGGGTTTGGATTCGCAGAAGCTCGAAGTGAAAGCCCAGAGGACTTACAAGCAAATCTTGTACAGAATGATTTGCCATGATATGAAATGGGACTAATTCTTACCAATGAAGAAGCGCTCAGTGCCATCAAAACTCAGCCCCTCTTGAAGCTTAGCATCCAAACAAAACAGGGGGGAAAAAATATTGGCTCTGGTCCTAAGGATAGTTGTGGGGTGAGGTGAGACTTGATATTGGGAATGAGACCCGAGTGCAAAGAGAAGTTGTGGTCACGAAAGAGAACCTAGGATATGCGCACGTGAGTCACGTGACCCCAGCATTTACCGTTACCAGTTCTTCGATGACAAGTAGTAACACGAAGTTGATCAAAACCCTGGCGGATCCCGATTCCAGAACTTGATCCGAAATGAATCGCGACGAGAATTCGAGGGGTGAGGCATAGTATATAAGATTCCAATGAGTCAAAGCGAGGCAATTGGCAGAATGGGGTAAATCCAAAAGTTCAAATACTTAATTCAAGTTCAACAATCGCAAGACTGATCAGCATCACTGAAATCCGAACACTCGATGAAAAGCTTAAGATGGTAGGTCTTTGTTGTATTGAGCGAACCTCGGGACTCAAAAGAATTCGTTGATGAAGGTGGTGGTAATTTGCATGGCTCTGCTAATTAAGAATTGTGAAGATTAAATGCATTGCAGATCAGCAACTCTTCTTCAATCTGTCTGAAGACGGAGCTTCCTTGGCCATCGTCACACCAAACACGAGCAGATGGAAAAAGCAACTAAACTAGCCTACGGCTACACGTCTACACAAAATGGTTTGCTGGCAAATTACAATCATTTTTTTTTTTAAATATAGATGCATTGCGTATCATCACATTTTTTAAAATCAAGATCCTGAAATTTTATATTTTAAGTTTTTTAAAA